CCAGCTGCGCAAGCCCGGCCCGCGGGGCCTCACCCTCAAGGAGCTGGCCGTCCGCGAGTATCTGAGCTGAGCCGAGCTGCAGACCTGGGATCGCCATGGCCCTGCGGGCTGCTGGGGGGCCTCTTGGATGGAATAGCCACGTGGGGCCACTTGTCGTCCTCCACTTCCCCAGCTGTGTCCTGCTGAGCCCCCTCCCCCCCTTCGGAGTTCTTGGAAGCCTCTGCTGTGTCCTGTGTCCTGTGTCCCTTAGATGCCAGGCTCACTTGATCTCCAAACCACAAACGCAGCCCCGGCGGCGTGGCTCAGTGATGGAGCGTCAATCTGTGAACCCGGGAGGTTAGGGTTCGATTCCCAATCAGGGCACTTGCCCAGGTTGCAGGCTCGATCCCCAGTAGGGGGCGTGCAGGAGGCAACCGACCCATGATTCCCTCTCATCATGGATGTTTCTGTCTCTCCCTCTCCCTTCCTCTCTGTAATCAATAAAAATATATTTTTTAAAAAGAAAGAAAGCCCAACAGGGGTTGGGGAGGGGGGGGTAGTAGAGGATTCGGGCAGCCAGCTGGGCGAGCTAAGAGTTGGCCCCGGATGTCAGGGTCCGTGTGGCATCAGCCCGCTGGGTGCAGAGGGACAACCAGGGGCACGTGAGTCTAATGGGGCACCGGTGGGGATGGGGAATCTTCTAGAATCTGCACTGCGGGTTTGGGGTCTGGATACACACCCCCTGGCCAAAGTTCTTCCACAGGGAGGTCTTGGCAAAGTGGGGGGTTGGGGGGGAGGCTGGGGCCAGGCACCTGGCACCGTGAAAGCCGACTCTCTCCCAAGAAGTCAGCCTCGGACCAGGCCAGTGGAGAGGGGGAAGCCGGATGCGGGGGTCGTGTGCACCTCAAAATCACACATATCCGGTGCATGTGTGCGGTAGAGAAAGGTTTTTTTAAAACCTAATAACGGGGTGGAGGGGACCTACAAAAGCACATCAGGGAGCTCCCCATCAGGACCCCTAAGCGGGGCTGGCTCCCACATTGTGCGCAGGGAATGGACTCGCCCAGGTTTCCTAAAGGGGCTGCCCACCTGGCTCTCCTGCTGGCACTCGGTGCCGCCCTCCCAGGTGTTTGGCAGCGGTGGCCCGTCGGTCTCCGGGGCTTCTGGCCAGTCTTCCTCCCTCACAGGTGTCTGAGGGCCTGGAAGGACCCACCAGGGCCGTCTCCTCCTGGCAGCTCCTCCCGGCGGCTCCCTGTTGCTGGAGAAGTCAAGGACCCCCGCACTTTTAGGTCCTGGAACAAGTCCTTCCGCTTCTCATGCCACCGTCTCCAGGGAGCCTTCCGCATGGCCCACCACAACCCCGGGCCTGGGATCAGAACCATCAGCCTCTCCGGGAGCTGGTCAGCAATGCCCAATGTCAGGCCCCACCCGGACCCACTGAGTTAGAATCTGCACGTGACAAGCTCCCTCCCCTTCTTCACAAGTGATTCCTGTCTGCGCAGGTGCAAGCAGGAGGCCCGAGATGTAGGCAAGTTAACGTGATGCGGAGGTGCCAGAGGAGCAGCATCAGCTCGGCCTGTCTTCCTGCCTCCCAGGCCCGCCCCCCACCCACACCTAGGCTCCGCCCACACACTTAGGCCCCGCCCACACACTTAGGTCCCTCTCACACACCTAAGCCCCTCCCACAAGCATAGGCTCCTCCCATACACTTAGTTCCTCCCACACACCTAGGCTCCTCCCACACACTTAGGCCCCTCCCACACACCTGCCCCACCCCAGGGCCAGGAACCTGCAGCTGGTAGCCCAGGCCAGCTCACGCGCACCTGGCAGCCGCTCTGGGCCCTCTCCCCAGAGGCGGGGGGCTCCTTCAGACAGCAGCCTGCTCCAGCAGCCTCTCCCTCCTGCTCTGTGGCCCCCGGGGTGGGGGGTTAGACATGCCCTGAGACCTGTGCCTGGGACGCAGCCGCTCTGGGCCCTCTCCCCGGGGGCTGGGGCTCCTTCAGACAGCAGCCTCCTCCAGCAGCCTCTCCCTCCTGCCCTGTGCCCCCCCGGGGTGGGGGGGGGGTTAGACATGCCCTGAGACCTGTGCCTGGGACGCCTCCCCCAAGCCACGGTGGGAAACGGCATGTCAGTGGCCGCCTCTGTGCTGGGTGCCCAGGGCTCCCCTCGCCACTGCCCGTCCGGCTCTGCTTGGGAGGAGTCCTTGTCCCATTTAACAGGCAGGACACAGACACCTGAGAGGTTAAGTGACTTGCCCGAGGTCACACAGCCACGATGAGCAGAACAGGAGAGTCAGGGAGCCTAGGAGAGGGCTGTGATGTCCTTGGCCCTCTCACCCTGAGGCACCCTTTAAGGCAGTGGTTCTCAACCTTCCTAATGCCGCAACCCTTTAATACAGTTCCTCATGTTGCGGTGACCCCCAACCATAAAATTATTTTCGTTGCTACTTCATAACTGTAATGTTGCTACTGTTATAATCGTAATGTAAATATCTGATATGCAGGATGTATTTAGGCGACCCCTATGAAAGGGTCGTTCGACCGCCAAAGGGGTCGCGACCCACAGGTTGAGAACCACTGCTTTAAGGTGTGTTCACTTGTGTCTATTTACAGGTGGGGAAACTGAGGCTTGGAGAGGGGACTACCTCAAGGTCACATAAGGCAGCTCCAGGACAAGAGCGGGGTGTCCACATCACAGCGATGTGACCCGCATTTGAGCAGACACAATAATCCCTCAGCCAAGTGGTCAGGGAGGGCTTCTCGGAGGAGGAGGTATAGAGGGAGCCACAGGGGAAGCTAAGGAGGCGGCCACGGCAGCCTGGGGAGGGGAGAACTGTAGGCAGAGGGGAAGCAGAAAGGCACTGTTGAGGCAGGAACCGCTTCCATCCCTGGGACCCAGGACGGGGCCCAGAAAGGAGGCAGCCCCTACCCTGGCTGAGCCCGCTGAGAGGAAGGTTCCAGGTGCCAAGAGAGAGACACCTAACAAATCACATCTGTGCCTCCTCCAGTAAGAGGCTCAAAGGGAACCGCTGGGGTGGGGGTGGGGGGGAGGCTGAGTTCAGGGCACACAGACCCTTTAGTGTCAGGAGACAGAAAGCCTGTTAACCTGACGAGGGAGTAGGCCAGCTTGAAGCCTTGTCACCCAGTCCCTCTTCCTCACTTTCACTTTCTCTGTGTCACTTCTGCTTTCCTGGGCTTTGCCATCTCTCTCCTCCTGGTGACAAGATGGCCGCAGCAGCTCCGGGCTCACATGCTCCCATCTCTGCAACCCCAGAGGCCCCCTCCGGGTCTGGTGAAGCTTTCATCTGGAGGGGATGCAGGGAGCACCCACAAGTCCTTTCCTGGGCAGGGCAGCCCCCCGCCCCACAGCGCAGCAACCAGGATCAGCTCGCCCAGCCTACAACAGGAACAGGTCGCACACGGCTTTGTAACCTGCTCTGTGGATGTAATAGACTTTCTTAGAGCAGTTTTCGGTTCACAGCAGAATTAAGGAACAGGTGCAGAGGTTTCCCATTGACCCCCGCCCCCACACACGCATAACCTCCCCCATTAGCAACACCCCCGCCCGAGGGGTTCCATTGATGAAACTACACTGGCACATGATCACCCAGAGCCCGCAGTTTACATGGGGGGTCACCCTTGGGGTTAGATAAATGTCTCCACCATTAACGTGTATCCGAGTATGAAAAATTAAAATGTGGTTACATTGTATCAGCCTGTCGTCAGCATGTCCCTGCAACATAGTATCCTTCCCTGCTATGGCTATTGGTTTCATTGTATCCTTTTGGTTTCATGGCCCAGGTTGGGTCAACGGGCTTGTAATGTTCCCGTTTCCTTATTTCAAGCAACCAAGCAGCAAACGCCATGGCTTATTGTGCATTTCCTCGTTCCTGGTGAGTTTCACAGGCTGACTGGTCATTTCCGTTGCCCTTGAGGTAACAAAGATGTTTCTTTTCCCCTTTGCATCTGGCGCTGCTGGAGGGAGGCAGCATCTAGGAGGACCTGTTTCTCAGGTTTGAAAAGCGACCGGCAGAGGGCGCTGCCGCCCTGGAGGCTCCGCGGGCGGCGCGGAGCGAGGGAATGAAACAGCGCGGGGATCCAGCCTTTCCCGAAAGAGAAAAAACGACTTTGAAAAGCCGTTCAAAGCGGTTGGAAATAACGCTAGAAGTTGGAAAGCTTTGCTGGGAAGGCGCGGGTGCTTCGCTGCCCCCTTAACACATTGCGTACCGCTCACGAGTTTTCTCGTGTTTCGCGCCCCATCTGTTAACCTCCCCCACCCCGCCACTGCGGGTGTTGGCTGGGGTCCCCGGCGACCAGGACTTGGGGTTCAGGACCTCCCCGCCTGGGTGTCTGCTCCCCCAGCCTCTGCCCCGCAGCCCGGAGGCCCCAGGGGCGGAAGGAGGCCTCCGCGCTGCCACTCCCTCCGCCTCCTCGGCGATCAGAGAGGAGCCAGTGAAACCCGCGACGCCCAACAAAATAGGGCGCGTAAAAATAGTCCCGGGGGCGCGCAGCCTCCCCTGTGCGACCCGCTGGCTCCCAAGGCGGGTGGGGGACTTGCTTAAACCTCCCTCCTTATGGGGAGGGTTCTTTTTCCAACAGGAGGGGGCTGGGTGCCCGGAGCGCCACCGCATCGCTTTCCGGGAGGGAGGCTTTGGGCGCCACGCTCCTCCCCAGACCTCCCTCCCCCCACCTCCCAGCTTCTGAGGACCCAGATGGTGCCGGGGAGGGGGACCTCCATCCATCTGCCACTGGAGTGGGGGAGGGGACGGGACTCCTGGCCGCACACCTGGACTCGTTTTCACCTTCCCACACCCGAGCCCCCTGCAGACTGTGGAAGAGGGAGAGGGGAGCGGGAGGGAAAGAAGGGAGAAGTCCCCCTTGCTCGTTAGAGCGCCAATTGGTACAACCACTTGGGAAAAGCGCGCGGCCACCCTCTCCTGAAGCCGGACATGGGGGACTCTAGGAGGGCCCGGCACGCCCACTCCTAGGAAGGTGCCCCACAGAGAGACGGGAGGACCTCACCCCAAAGCCCCGACTAGAATCTCAGAGCAGGACCACGTCCAACAACAGCCCCCAAATGGGAACAACCCCAAGGCCCACCGACCAGGAGACGGATAAGCACAGTGTGGAGTAGCCGCCGGAGGAATAGTATACAGCCCTGAAAACGGCCTGTGCTCATGCAGCATGAAGGGATGACTCCCACACGCTGGGGTGAGTGAAAGCGGCCACACTGTGGTCCAGCCGCCCGGAGGAAGCAGGTTGTTTTGTATCTATATACATTTTGGATTTTGAACCATTAAAAATTTTTTTACAGATTTTTTTATCTTAAAATATATATTTTTATTGATTTCAGAGAGGATGGGAGAGGGAGAGAGAGCTAGAAACATCAACGATGAGAGAGAATCGTGGACCGGCTG